CTCTGCCACGCTGTGCCCTCTGTCCCCGCAGTGCCCCTGCGTCTGCCACGCTGCACCCTCTGCCCCCGCTGTGTCCCTGCATCTGCCACACTGAGCCCTCTGTCCCCACCGTGCCCCTGCGTCTGCCACGCTGTGCCCTCTGTCCCCACCGTGCCCTGCGTCTGCCACGCTGGGCCCTCTGTTCCCACCGTGACCTGCGTCTGCCACGGAGGGCCCTCTGTCCCCATCGTGCCCCTGCGTCTGCCATGCCGTGCCCTCTGTCCCCACCGCACTGCTGGCCACTGCAGAGCTCCTCTGGCCCTCCACCCCAGTTCCCACCCTGGTTTCAAACTGGCATGAGCCTCATCTCCAGGGAGCACCACGTCACTCCAGGTGGCCTAGGATGCTGCCAGGGGTACCTGGTTCTAGAACTGAAGCAGGTGCCACTGCATGTGTCCTTAAGGGGCAACAACGTCCCTCAAGAATGAAAACTGGTTGTGGGGGGTAAGAAAATCAGACATTACAAGGATTCGTGGCCCTCCAAAACCAGGTACACAGGGTAATCTGTGGCATTAAAATTTCACAGCAGAAAAAAGGCAATTAGGAAATTACGAAGGCCGATGTGAGAAAAAGGTGGACAGACCTCGTTCTCAAGCTCTTCTGTGTGTGCCTGCGGCAGGGCCACACCGCGGAGATGGGATCAGACGAAGGGCCGCAGCCTGCCATGGACAGCCTTGGTGACACAACTGACCGTGCTTCAGCTACTCACCATCCACGAGTCGAGACGGCAGCAACAGGCCTCTCCTGCCCAGCTCTGCCAGCGCCAGACATCCCCCGTGCCACGCCTTGTCGGTCTCCTGGAAACTGAGAGCAACAAAGATCCTGAGACCACAGCTCACGTGTCAGTTTTTGGTTCAAAGCCCACAGCATGGCAAGGAGCACAGCTTGGCAAGTCCATATCCTGTACCTGTAAGACACACTAAAACCCATTCGTCAGTTTTTAAAGTATCAAGTCCATATCCTGTACCTGTAAGACACACTAAAACCTATTC